GTTGTGGAAGAATGTGAAAATTTGAACATTAAATTTTCAAACGATTTCACTCTAACATTTAAAAGAATGCCTCATATTAATTCATGAAATCTATATGTAAGAATCCAGAAATAAATGCAATTTGTTGATCCAGATAATTTGCAGAATTTATAGTTATTTATGATTATCAGACTTATTGACTACCAATCTTGCGATAATGCAACGACATTAGTAAGTTGGGAGTTGGAAATCTTGAAACATTTACTATGTCATCATACGAAGTCGATCACGGAATCGTCAGTATGTCGGAGAGATTTGGTGATCAGTGTAACCGCATAAGAAAGAAATGCTTTTAAATTGTTACGAGGGGTTAAGTTTATAACAATTTCAATCACTTTTTTAATTGCATCTTACTTGTGCTGAGCGGTTAATAGGGAATAAACTTGTGTGAGCTAGCTCTCATAGGCCACATAAACTAATCTATATCCTATTAATGATATTTGGCGACATCTTGCACAGAAGAAGGGGAAAAAAACCTTTATTAATTTCAACTATGAATAGAAGGCACATACTTCGTACTTTACAATAACACCGTCAACCTGCGGTGGAACTTAAACGCTATTACACAAATGAATTCGAGTCTAAAAAAGAACAGTGCTAGATTAACACGTAAGTTAAGGCTAAACTAGGTTGACTCGACAAACCTAACAGGCGTGATAATTATTTAAAATGGCCAAGAGGCGTATCAACGTGAATGCAATGTCAGAAACAAAACTTGCACTGGCCAAGACAGGCTCTGAATAAACTCCGAGATTCACCCGTTTAAATACTCACTTAACTTAATTTTAAATTTACATCCTGGCGAGGAAATACGAGGGGAAGTTGAGGAGTTCAGGAAAGATAACAAAAATTTGAATAATGCGTTATTATTCAAATTTATGCTAAAGGAATTTGTGCTAAAGGATGCTAAAGGAATTTGAGCTAAAGGATTTATGCTAAAGGAATTATGCTAAAGTTATTATTCAAATTTATGCTAAAGGTTATGCCAAAGGAAACCATACAAACTCAGAGACTGTACTGTAGAAGACATATTGTTTGGGGAAATTTACAGTATGAGGCATTTTCTAGTAAGGTGACTTAGTATTTAAACTAACTAACACGTTTAATAACGTTTTATTCAAGTCCTATACATTATAATGTGTAGACAAGTGAAGAAAGATCACCGAAAGATTATCACCCACGATTCAAACCATATCGGATTTCTGCGCAGGTGGTCGCCTTACAGGTTGTAACTATCTATGACTTTTAACACCGATGTGTACCTATGTTAGCATAAATATTAAAATGTGAAGCTAATTTTCATGCTATTCATCACAGAAAAGCTGGTTACCATAAGAAAATTCACCACACTTGTTCTCTAAACATATCTTTCATTTACTCCCAACCAAATAGAGAAAGAAACATGATTTTTTTTTTTTAATGAGAAAACTCTTGGTCATTTCATTCTATTTCAGTTTTATACTCGGAGAATTGTTTAGTTGCACAGTTGTAACATAACACATCCTAAACACGCTTCTAAAATTTATAGCATAATTTGAAATAACTTAATTTCTGTTTGTCAAAATATTTTCATTTATTCTTAATCCTTCTTTCATATTTTTTCATTCCATAGTATTTTTCTCCAGCTAATTCGCTTAAAATTTTGTAGTATTTTAAAATAAATTTTGTTTTATTTTAGAGTAAAATTTCATTGTCCATTTTTCGAAGCAAGGGACACAGTCGAAATGGTAACCGAAACTTGTATCATAAAGAATTTATGTATCATAAACCGAAACATAAATTTATGTATCATAAACCGCATTGTATCATAAAGAATTTATGTATCATAAACCAAAACTTGTATCATAAAGAATTTATGTATCATAAACCAAAACTTGTATCATAAAGAATTTATGTATCATAAACCAAAACTTGTATCATAAAGAATTCTTTTTGTGGACGTTGTGAGCTTTCTGGGTACAAGTATGGAACGCATGATTGTTTGATTACTAAAAATTCTCATAAAAATATCTCCAGAACCACATCCACTGTTTAAGCAATACTTACATAATTTGGGGCATTTTCTGTGACAGTTGTGAAGTTCACTGGATATCTTAAAGACACTACACTTTCAGATTATTTATTTAGTAAATTTCACAGTAAGAATATCTATCGTATCTCTTAAATGCTCATCGCTTACATTCGTTTATCGTGTTAGAGTTCGTAAATAGTACCTCATGAATTCGGGACCCTCATTGAATGCTCATCGTATTATAGTCTGTATATCTTAGCTCATGAATCGTACCTCATGATTGCTCATTCCTTACATTCGTTCATCGTATTACAGTTTGTAAATCTTAACTCATGAATCTTACCTCATGAATGCTCATCCCTGACTTTCTCTCATCCTATTACAGTTCGTAAATCTTAACTCATGAATCGCATCTCATGAATGATCATCGCTTACATTCGCTCATCGTATTACAGTTTGTAAATCTTAACTCATGAATCGTACCTCATGAATGCTCATCGCTACATTCGCTTATAGTTTGTAAATCGTACCTCGCGAGTTCGGGAACTTCATGAATCGTACCGCATGGATGTTCATAGCTTACGCTCGACCATCGTATTATATTTTGGAAATCGTTCCTTATGAATTAAGGAGCTTCATGATATGTACCTCATGAATGCTCATCGCTTGCATTCGCTCATCGTATCACACTTTGTAAATTGGGCCTCATGAATTCGGGAACTTCATAAACCGTACCTCATGAATGCTCGTCGCTTACATTCGCTCATCGTATTATAGTTAGTAAAGCGTGCCTCATGGATATGTGTTCACCAGCGGGTAAGAGGTGGAATCGCTAAATATTGGTAGCTCCAACTAGTTCCAAACCGGGCGAACGGGCGGGCTATATGTGAATTTTCATAATTTTGTCCATTTGCAACGTGAATACGAGCCAGTCTCCCTTAAAAAGCTCTTCACCAAGGTATCCCTTCCCTTGAACAGACACTCGTCGAGTGATATACCAAAATCTAAAATAATCCTAACACCACGGAATGATTTAATGCATTCTGTAATACTAACGATAATTCTGTAATGTATTTCGCCCAAGCAAGAAAATAAATAAATTGTTTCGTAAATGCCCAGCGCTTTTGCTAAGTGACTAGTATTAATAATAAGAGTGAAAATTTCTTAAAGTTCTAGTTCTTTCTTCTGTTTATTGATTACAAAGAGCATTTTTCTTGTTATGTGATTTATTAAATTTTCGTATTTTTAAAGACGTTCACTTTTTTGGAAAATTAATTGACATAATTACAAAAGACAGTAAGAGCAATTTTTATACCCTTCCACTTGAGTTTTGAAATGCATTGCATAATCAGACGAAAACGATGCTTTTGAAATAGAAGCGAATTTGGACATGTGTTATTCGGCAGTAGCAAAGAGAAAAAGATGTCATGGATTTCTGTTTTATATTAAGAGAATATTTGAAATAATTTTTAATTTTCATGAAAACTTTGAAAATACCTTCTTTTCCTTTTAGTAAACATAAGTCTAGTTTTTGAGAAAAAATCAAAAGTACTTGGTTTTTGAAGTTCAGAAGTTCTTAGAGATATGTTTTCCGAAACTGATCACATATATTATTTATCATAAATTTTAATCCTTCATCTGTTCCTTCATCGTCGAAAACAGTTACGAAATTTAATTGTTCGTATTGCTTGAAAGGGCTGGTTGAACATTTAACATGTCAGTCTACAATTTGTCTGGAAAATACGAACGAATCAAGGACACATTTTTTTACCAAGATGCCAATTCGTTTTTTCTCGTTTTCTTAGAATTAGAGAGCGGCAATGTATCTTTTCATCTGCTGAAGGTTGATAAAAAGAACAATTCATGTAATCTATAAGGAATAGTTAGTCATCCGCTTCCATTGGATTTTAAAAAAAATGAATTCATGATTCTAAGAATTATTCCAAAATTACCAATTCTATCAGAAGCAACCAGTTATTAATTTTTTTCCTTCTCTTTGGCATTTAAAGACCAGTTTTAAAATAAATGGCCCAATTAAGGTCAAGTTTTATTCCAGTGTTTATTCGAGCAATTTCAAAAACTAGTTCTTGTTGTTTATTTTCCAAAAACAAACGTAATAATTACCAAGCTGTTGCTTACATACGCCTATTTCTGGCCATGAAAATGTGCAGTATAACATCAAGATAAACACACACTTATTGATTTATTAATTTATTTTTAAAGAGGAAGATAAGAAAAAAATATAATCATGGTTAAGGTTAGGGTTTTGATATTTGCCTATTTTAAGTTTTTATTTTATTTAAACATCTGTATTTAACTAATTCCATTGTTATTGAGACCTTCCATTAAATGTTTCTACATGAAAATATATGTAAATGACGAAATTGAAATTTTTAATGGAAATAGATATTTTGGTAATTAATTTATTAATTAATATGCTGGATATCTTGTTGGTTTTTATTTTTGAAAACAAACAAAATAAAAATTCTAATGCCAATAATAACATATAAACAAATAAAACTGCATTTATAGCGCAAATTTGCAACTTCATATTAAAATAGATTTGATACATATTGGTTTCTTCTTCTCCTAGTCGATTTTCATGTGTACTTTTGATATAAAGAATAAACTGTGAAGCGGATATCATTTTTAAATTAATAAATCAAGAAGAGCCATACGTGATCCAGCTTTGAAATTATACACTACTTACCGAAGGTCTGGAATATAATGCTCAATGAAACTACTATTCCGAATTTTGCTTATCAAATTTTGACAACGGAATGTAACTTTTTTTAATTCTTCAGTATAGTTAACCTCTTAACATAGTTGTTGTCAGTATATTTAACCTCTTAACATAGTTGTTGTCGGAAAGAATATTACATAAATTCAACTTAAAAAAATGTTAGACAAATAATTTTATACTAAAACTAAAATATAATAAAACTCTTACCTGCATGTTAGCCAAACGTAAGGGTACACCCGCTAAGCACACCAGTATTAAAGAAGGAAACAGCAGGAAAGACGTTTCTAAAAAAGTGGGTTAATTTTTAATTATTGGATGTGCTACAGCTCACAAAGATTAACAAGATTGTAAAAGATCTGATAAAGAGACCTAGCTGTAAAACATAATTCTGATCCACATTTTAAGCCCAAAGCGGTTAGCCCTGAAGGGCTATTAGTATCAAAACAAACAGCGAATCACTTTATCACTTTTCAAATTGTTGCCACAAAATAGTATCGCCCTGTATTATATTTAAAGAAATTAAATAATGCAGAATTTGCATTAATGTATGTTTATGTGAGTATCGTTTGCTTCATTTTATTATTTGCAAACAGCGTAAATTTCTTTTGTTTTTCTTCCTTTAGTTTTGAACTTTATGTGTGGCAACATGATACTTGATTGATAGAATTGTGTTTGTGACAGCCATGTAGAATGGCTCGATTATTTTGTATCAATTATTTCGCATCGCTGACATCTTATTTATAATTAGTGTAATGAAATAAAAATGAAGGAATACAGTCCATGTGTTAAGTGATTATTGTTTGTGAAACACATTAAGTAAAGATCACTTATTAATGTATGTTTCTGGCGAAGCAGGTGGTTTCGACGCTGACGGTTCGACGCCAACGTTTCGACTCCGGGGCAGTTCGACGCCATATTTTTTCGTATTTTTATTTATTTTTAGAATAAATATGAAGTTATATAAATAAGTAATATGACTGATTTTTGTTTATTGAATTAGCGATTGTTTGCATGCATATTTGAAATAAATATATGTGTGTATATGTGTGAAAGTGTTCTAGATTTTTGTTTGTGTCCCAGATTAGTGAGAAGCTCCCTCGCCAACGTCAAGGCCCCAGGACATGAGGGAGAGTTTTTTTATTTATTTAGTTCGCAAAACAGCATCAAAAAGGCAAAATACACAAATGGTAAATAAACATATGGTTACAAAGTAGTTATATATTATATTGCAGACAAATATAATTACAGATAAATAAGATTACACATAAATAAGATTAGAGATAAATAAGATCACATCACAGAACTATTATTATACTAATCCATTGCAAAATTATGCGCCACACCTTTCAGGTATTCCATTATTTCTCGATTTTCAAAACCTTCAACTATTACTTTAATTCTCATACCAGCTCGCAGATATCTGTTCCTCTTGTGCGGCGGTTCATCTCCACGTATAAATTGTTCATACCATTGATCAATTGATTTTTGGATGAACCTTTACATTATGGTAACTTGGCGATTTTTGGCGACCAACCCTGCTACAGCAACCTGCTAGTTTTGTTTTGGACGCCATTTTGTTTTCACGAAGTAAAGACATGTTTTTTTTTTTTTCTCAACATTTTTTTCCAACAATCTGCTAGCCGAATAACGCTTATACTAGAACTTTTATGGAACAAAAATGCTTAATCATGACGAAGATTAGGTGTGAAATTGGGAGAAAATGCACAATCGCAAACTTCTTGCCGCGTTTTTAAGAATTGCACATACACGGTATCCATGTGCACGTCGACCTATTTTTACTTAAAAAAAATCCCAGAATTGCACAAAATGGCATTGCGCACACTCTTGACTTTATTTATGTACACATCGACCTATTTTCACTTAAAAAGTCAAAGAAAATTGACAAAAATCCAATTCTTCTTACTCTTGTAAAAAGCGCTAAACAAATAAGTGGACGATTCTGCACTTTAGCAGGGAAATTGTTTCTTCTAAGTGCTTATTAGCTAAAATCACGATCGTAATTTTCCGGAAAATGTCACATTACATGTCTCATGATCTCTCATTTCTCTGAGACAAAATAATCTGTGATTCGGACTGTGTACCTCTTAGATTATTGCTGAAGTCCTAGCTAGTAACTTTTATCGCCTTACAAAAATGTCGCCAAACTACCTGTTACCATATTCTAAAGATTAGCCGAATTTTGAACACGCCTGAGACCATCTATGAATTCCCGTAATGTGAGGTATGAAACACCAAATGATGATGACACCAAATTTATTTGAATGATGATGCAAACTTTCTTTAAAAGCAAATAAAAATACGAAAAGTATGGCGTCAAACAAAAGCAAAAAAAGTATGGCGTCGAACTGACCCCGCGTCGAAACGACCTCGCGTCGAAACGCTGGCGTCGAACCGTTGGCGTCGAAACGTTGGCGTCGAACTGACCTGTACCGTGTTTCTGGCACTGTGAAAAAAACGACGGTACCTAGAGCCATCAAATTTTGAATAACGTAATCCTGCACCAAAACACGGGCCTCTGCATGCCCGAATTTTGGATTTTGAATACTTTTTATTATTTATTTCATATTTTGTGACACTTTAACGAATTTTTAATTAACAAACTCGACAATTTCAAAGCGAGCTATGGCAACACTATAGGGAATAAAACGTTCTTATCTTCATTGCGAGGACTTATCTGTCGGATATTCTGAAGATACGCTGTTTTTAAATATTATGTGATGTTGCTGTTGAATTGAATTTTATGTAGTTTAAGTGCGAAGGACATGATATTTGATACATAAAGGTACCACACAAAACGTTAAAAAAACGCCCTTTTGCGCGTAATATAAAATCTGGAAGATTTCAGATTTTTTCTTTTTTAAGTTTATTGGTATTAGTTTTAATTTTACATACGTAACATCTTGAATTCATTTACTGATATTAATTCTCATTACATCATTTCTCAAAACAGATTGCCTTAGAGCGCTAAAATTTTCTTTTGATTAAACGTCTTTCAAGTAAATCTCAAAAAACATAGCGGAGACTTCATATCAATGGGCTAATATATTTTTCATGATTACGTAACGATTTTGATCGGTGAAAGCTTACTACTTCGTTTATTTTTGAAGAAGCAAAGAAATTACATAAGAAAAAAGCTATTTTGGTAATAGCCGGTTGATTCGCCATCATGTTCTTTGACATGTTGTACGAACCTCCGTTTGTTTTTCTTGCCTGATTTCTTATCTATAGCAGTTTGTCCAGTTTCATTTCTAAAAAAACTAGTAGTTACAGAATTTATCCAAGCCATTTTGATCTGGATTATTGGGCGTGCAAAATGGTCGAAGAAATCAAGCACTCAAATTATTTTGAGATAGAATATCTTCAGCGCTGTTTCTTCTTGTATTGATACTCTGCAATTCTTACGTATTAGACAACGAAGTTGCTTTCATTTTATTATCAAATTCATTATTTCTGCATTAAGACATAACTTTAATTCAGCATTCTTAAGTTCATTTAGACCGTAATTTCTGCCGAGGAATTGATAAATGATTAGATTATTTAATTATTAACAGTTTTCCTAAATTTCATTTTCAGTTTTGCGAAAATTCGTATAAGATTTCATAATATCCTGCAGTACTTTAATTTTATGGTGTTGAATATAAATTTATCCCATAATGCGTAATTATTCAGTTTCCTGTAAATAGCTACTGAGATAAATTCAGCGACTTTCAACTTTTGATCTGGTCCAGTATTTATTAAGCTACTTTATTTATTTTCTCTCCTCCTTTAATAAAAGAAACATCCTTTAAAAAATTCACTAGATGGTGAAAATTAACCATAATGAAATTCCACATTGTTAATTAGCATTAATAGAACCAGATGACAAATTGAAATTTGGCCATCACCTGAAAACATCAGAAGTTCGTTGTCGCGTATGTGCAATGAGTCTGTACCAATTCAGGAAGACGTTTTTGGTTCCATGCCAAAGAAACAAAAGCCATTGGTTTTTTTGACTTCCTGTACGTAATTTCCGCGAAAGGGTATGCCGCGATACCCTTTCGCGGGATACCCTTTACCCTTTCAGTGGGCTCTGCAAATTGTAAATTCAACTGCCCAGCAGTTACGTTACTGTTTCGTTGAACCGTTATGGATAGCAATATAGCCTGACAAGACACTTATTTTCTTCTACGACCTTATTTTGGGTTTCTAGCAGAGTCTTTAAATTATTTCTTGAGAACAGAGACTGCCCGTCTTGAAACGTTTTCCGTTCTCTTGTCAGTTCTATAATTATCTCTTCTATCTTTGAGCAACCCGCAGTTTTTCACCTTAAAGGGTCATTTAAATAATGCTTTGGCTTTACAATTATTTTTAAGATAAAAGATAAAGATACATTTTTGAAAAAAATTAAGATAAATTTTTTTAAGATAAAAAATAAAATAAGTTTTTTAAGATAAATTATAAAGCCTGAAGCTGAGTCCTTTGAGCTCTGAAGTATAGAAGTTCGCAGGTAAACGTACTTTGAAAAGCGCGCAAGATGCTTTTGGATTACACCATGTCATAATTTGCACATCAGAAACAGATTGATCAAATTGCAAGAATGATAATTGGGTTTACTTTTTACTTATTCATAAAACATCAGACTGATTTGACTATTTCGTGATAACGTTACTTCATACATGCAGGGATAATTTTAGATACCAGGATAATTTCATGAGAAGCAAATTTTGTTTTATACAGATTACTTCGAATGTCATTGTTTAGGTGAGTGAGTTTTAGGCTGTAATTAGGATTGAGATCTTGAATTAGAACACATAGTGTTGTGTTCTACGGGTTCATGGATTTGGAGTGATTGATGACGAATCAAAACACAATTTATTAGTCAGTATTACTCAGGTCAGGTCCAAAATCACGTTTACAATCGTCGGGAAACTACGACAAACACACTGAAACAATCAGCAACGCAGCCTTCAAGATATAACGGTAAAGACAGCTTCACGGCAAAACACTAAAGTACAGCTCCCGACTTAGTTGATCACTCTCAGAGCTCAACAGACTCAAGATAAAACTCGACGATACACTCGAAGATGTACTGACTGGCAATAAACTAGATAGCCTCAACGATGCACGCTCTCGATACACTGCTACTCTACGTACAGACAGGGTTTATATAGTTTTTGGCCTGTCTGAGAACCTTTTTGGGCCAAACCGGTAAGAATTCATTTTGAATGTTTTCCATGCATATCGCCAATTTTGTCGCGCCAAGTGTCGCCAAAAGAGTGATTTCGTGTCAAATTTGGCAACCCTGCCTTCCTTTGCCAGTTTCTGGTAACCCTTAACCTACTTTTCGAAGAAGCTATTTTACCGCAGCTGGGTATTTCGTAACAATGTTATTACTGAACTGCATTGTTGTCAGTCGCTGAATTACTAAAAGTATCTCAAAGGCGAAATTATCTCAGAAACTCGAAATGAAATAGCAAAATCTTTTAACATACTTATTAGTTCTAAGACTGGATTCAGATTATCTAACAAATTACATTTATATGACATTCCTTAGGCTTCCAAAAGAGCACACAATCATTTTTATACCATTTTATCATTTTACCATTCGTAAGCTGCTGCTCAACCTTATGTTTCATACCAGAGTATCAAAAAATAAATGAAAATGACCTCTATATCTGCTAGGCGGTGCTCAGAAGAGCCCTGTTTGTATTCTTCTACTGTTAAATAATGACTGAGAATAATGTGAAGTGCCTGAACTAGTCGAATTCATATATGAGAAATCATTTGGTATATACATATATTTATATATGATTGATATATGATTTGATTTCTCATACTTTTAAATTTGGAAGCCCAGTATGATTTGCATCATTGCAAAGTCATCACAAAAGTTTTTAATTTACTGAAAGTTGCTAGCATGAAATTGTTTCATTTGTATATCATTCCGAACACTAGTCAATATACTGCAAATTGTGATGATATAATATGTGGATACCATTCCATATGACAACTCTCGTTTATTTGCATAAAGCTTGCAAGTAGAATTTTAAGACAGAGATGTTAACCCTTAAATGCATGTGGTTGCCATTTGGCAACTACATGCATTTAAGGTCATTTAGTCATGCAAATCAAATTAAAAAAGCCAATTTTAGTTTACTGCCTAGTGTAACCAATTGGATGTATACTGTTTACGTATATAGTTTTGAATGTTTCAATGTGGTGGCACCATTAAGGGCGTAAATGTCATTATTGTGAGTTGATGTGTGCGGTGTGGACATCATTTGGGTTGACGAATTTTTGATTTTGTGCTTGTTGTTATTTTTATGTAGTCAAAGTTTTAAAATTGTTTAGTTAAGTTTATAAGGTATTTATTATTACATAAAATTGTTATTACAAATTTACCTATTATATTTTTTGTAAAAGATAATAAAAACTTAGTTTCGAATTTGTTTTTAGTAATTTTCCTATTTTATTTGATATCAAATCTAATGTATTATTGACTGAGCGGCCAGTTTCCGCTAAGAAAGCACAGATTTCCCAAAACTACTATGAGAACAAATTATTTTTTTGATTTTAATGTAAAAACTCTCCTGGTATTTCATACCTGGATTTGTTTTCTTTTGATATATTACCTTAATTTCTTTTAGATATTTTAATATGCACGTATATATACGTTCTACAGATATCACAAAAAATACGGCCTAGAATATTTTTTGTGATATCTGTAGAATTTATGTAGCCGTATATATACGGCCTTACTGCTTACGGTGTTAATAAAAATAAAAGTAAGAATTCATGCATTTAAGGGTTTATTTGCCTTATACTGCTCAAAGCCCAGAAATCAGATACTTAAAATGCTTGTAAGGACATCACAGCGGTCGTAATGAAAGTATTTAGCAAGGTCAGCTAACAAACTCGAAGATTCGTGGCTCGAATACAGACGAGTTGAAAGTTTAGTTTTAAATTTCTTGCACCCCTTTATAGTGTGTATATGCTTATCTATTGAATGAGGACGTTATATGAAATTTATGTTGCACAGAAGTAAAAAAATTATTTCCATTTCATATCTAACAAAAACTGGATAAGCGTATTTCTGTCTTAAAATAAAAGTGAAGTTCCCACGAATGGAGACCACGATCACGTATAAATACGAGTACATGTCATAAACTAACTACTTATAAATACATGTCATAAACTATCTAGGTCACGAATAGCTTTCTAGGTTTAAGGGATATGCTCAAATATCTTAACTTTACTCGGTATATTTCTTAGAATAAAACACAAAATAAACATTTATTGAAACTACGCTAAAAATGCTTTCATAGCTTGAGAGATTGAATTTTTTAAGCCGTTTAATTTTCTATCTCTTTAAAAGAACTTTTGTAAATATAGTTTGGAAAATATATTCAATTTATAACATATATCCTCCTTTAAAATACATTTTACAGGTTACAACTTCATTTAATATTTATTTGCTTAAAAATATATTACCTTTTATTGTTAATGAGAGAAGAATGCAACCGCTTGTTATCAATCCACTATAAAAACAAGAATAAATATGTAGAAAACTTTTTTAAAACTTTTAATGTCTGAATAAAATATAAATAAACCACTTTTATACTTTTTATATTTTGTCATTTAATTACAAGTTTTTATTTTAAACTCTGTAGAGACATTAGGCATAATGTACAAAACAAAATAAAGTATAAAACAATTAAAGTATAAAACAAAATAAAGTATAAAACAATTAAAATATAAAACAAAATAAAGTATAAAACAAATAAAGTATAAAACAAAATAAAGGTCTGTTACCTCAGTTTGGCAAAATTTGAGAGAAGTTGCCTATATGACGTCAAATGCATAACGTGCATGAAATAAGTTTTTATACAAGTCTACTTTTTGAGTTAATGAGTGTCTAAGACTATGAACAACTGGCAATTAGCTTGGCATATAACTATGAATTCAGAAATTACCATTTACCACTTGATCTCTTCGCACAAATTTAGATAAACTGGTAACGAGAGCGCGGAAAAGAGTCAACATGCAACGACTCTCTTCAAAGCGAGTTTTATCCCACAGTTACTCTCAGTGTGCCCTATTTATATATTTCATAACATCTTTGCGTTAATTAATTTACATTTTCTTCTACCGCCCAACCGGGCTAGTGGTTAGCGACGTTCACTGAAATACCGAAGGGTCCGAACTCGAGTCTCAAAAAAGGCATGGATGTTTGTAAATGTATAGTGTCTGTGCGGCATGGGGTCATTTTACTCTTTGTCACAATTAATATCTTGGGTTTGTCCTGACCTTTCCCAGAGTAGTAAGACTGGCACAACAACATAACACGTCTTCTTCTGGACTGAGCTCAGTTACATGTGAAATGAAAAGGCACAGAATAGAGTATAAATTAAAATAACTCTTTACGATCTTATAGTAAACATTGCGCAGTTATTAAGAAAAAGTATTAGCAAAATTAAATTTATTTAGCATGAAAATAATTGACAAAAAGCCTTTGTATTTAAAAAAATGTGAAGAACGCTTAGCTAAAACCCTCCGTAGAAAAACTAATATAAGAAAAACTTTTTTTTGGTCAATTTTACGCTTATGTAACAGCTTTATAGCAAGTTGAGCTGATATGCACAGATTTGCTGCATATAAATTTTAACACAAAGATTTACTCAATATTCTATTATAAAAAGTCTTCACACTTATATTCCTATTATAATTAATTCTTTATTAGAGGAATATTAGCTATTTCATTTCCACCTTTGTCGGCGTTTAAAAAAAATTAAAAATTTTTAAATAACGCAAAATCCTACTAAAACAGAAATTTGATATTTATAATTGCTTATAGGTTTTCTAGACAGATTTATCATACTATGATTCGCCGTTTTCAGTAATTTTAAAGTTTTCTTTGAAATTCCCGTCGTGCGAGATTGCAGTGTAATACGCTGAACTCTGCAGTCTAAACAATTGCAGTATTCTTCTCTCAGTCCAATTCCGACCATAAGCACATGCGCGTATCTGCGTGGTTCGAAACGGCGTTTCTTCACTCATACAGTGCATGAACGTTGTTGTTGTGTAACGAAGATTTTGCTTAATCTAGACTATCCAATAATGATCTGTTGAATAGTCTACTTTACGCAAAAACTTAATACCAAGCAAGTAAACTAAATCATGTTACCCACTTAATTAGTAATTTCAGCAAAAATATTGCGCTCTTAGGGTAGCAGAGATTAAGAATGGGAAGGATTGTTTTGAGATCTTCAAAATCCGGAACGTACATTTAAAAAAGAAAACAAACCTTTAAAATTCTTACTGTAATTTATTTCTTATAGCTTAATATTTCATTAATAACAATGTATACAGGCACGCGTTTTTACGCTTTTGTAAATGCACTTTTGAATTTACTTAATGTTCTCTGAAATTATTTCTGTTAAGTGAGACGTACAATTAGTTGCCCGTGAAAAATCACCCCATCTGAGAAAAGAAAGGCATTAAAAATTACTGTTGAAGTGTATGTATTGTGATTAATAACGACAGAAACATTTTCGTTCCTTTTAAAAGTGTTTTCCGTGTCTGTTTGAGAGAAAAACTATGTCGTTTTTCAGATTATCAGTAAAAACTTCTGCTTCAATCAAGTTTCGTACATTCGTTTATAATCAAACGCGTGTAATTACACTTTGTACAATTTTTTACACGAAGTAGCTCTCCAGTTTAAAGGGTATGGATCTTTTAAAGAGAATTATAATTTACATTTGAAACCTTGAAACGGAATTCGGTCTTTTCGAATTCAGCACTGGGAAGTTGGTATTTTGCATTAAGGAAGAAATTAATCCTATCGTTACGGAGACCATTGGAGATTTTTACCCAAGAGGGGAGAAAAATACGCAATGCCCTCGCGGGAACTCGAACTACAGACTTTTCAAGATGGCTGCCCAGACGGTACAATGGTTAGGAGAGCCTACTGCGATATCGAAGAACCCAGGTTCGAATCCCAGAGAAGGCATGGATGTAAATTGTCTGTCCCCTCCTAGGAGGTAATGGTGGTCGACTATTAGATGCTCCACAATACAATGGCCACTATTTCTGGCCTTAGGAATGATCAATACTGAAAAGGCCTGCCATTCGATTAAAAAAAAATCTGTTGTGGAAACCACATGACTTCCTTGTACGGAATATTAAATTATAAACATTTTTCTTGCATTTCATTTAAACTTATTGGATTGAATTAAATCTACTTCGCCGACAGCGCATAAACCACAATAGAATAAATGCATTCTTTAAAATTCACTCTAGTATTTGTTTACCATAGTGACACTCTGGCGCTAGATTCACTTAACAGTATTACTAATTGTATAACAGTTAACTTATACAGTAATTATATAACGGATACTAAGTTAACTGTTATATAATCCAATAATTATACAATAGTTAACTTATATATTTCGTTCATATTATATCTCATAATGCACAAAATTTATATCATTTAAAGAATAGAATTATCTAATCGTTGCCACATGTTCTATTCAAATACTATAATAAAGCTAAAATGATGTATGAAAGAAATTAAGAAAACAAAACAAAAAAGAACAGTTTTTGACAGACGATTGAGTATTTCTCATTTAATTAATTCAGTTCTCACTTCGCGACAAGGCAAAAATACATAAAAACTCAAAATATCTGTATTAAAAATTATGAAATAAATCTTAAACACGAAAAATCTTTCCTCGAAAAAATTCCAGAAAGATTTAAGCATAATTTAATTGGCAATAATAAATGAATGCGTTATCTTTGTTGTTGCGAGGCTAAGTTTCTCTAGATTGGCAACAAATCCACTAGTCTCCTGTTTCAAATGTTAACATCAATGGCCGCCATCAAGAGAAGTATTAGGCTTAGCGGCACTTAAACAACTTTAAAATTGTTGATAATTCTAAAAATATTGCATAGAGATTTACTAAAGGCATAAAAACCTTAACCTGAAGATAAGAAAAACATAATTCAATCATTTTTAAAGCAAAAAATGTACAATTTACAAACATATAAGAGTAAAGAAATTGAGATCACTGAGTCGGGTAACAGAGTGGATATATATATAAATATATTTATATACGTTTGGTGCGGCCGATTGCAACCAAAATACGAAGTGCACATCTACATGTTATAGCAGTCCTATATACAAAATTTCAACGTTCTGAGGCTGCTCGTTTTTGAGTTATGCGAGATACGTACGTACATTCGTTCGTACAGACGCCACGAAAAATTCTCTTCAGAATTAATTTTAAAGCAGTTTTATAATTTTTTTGAAGGAAAAGGGTATTTTATTCTGTCCTTACGTACAGATATCACGCAAAAACATCGTTCAATTGCATTCGATAGCGGTCAAAATGGATATTTTCGTTGAAAAATGCTGCCTGAATCTTTTCGCGATTACAATACTTCCTTTTTACTTCGTACAAGGAAGTAAAAAACTGATAAAAATAATTTAAAAAAATCTGAATGGTTTCAGATTTTAAATTACGTCCAAAAGCACCTTTTTTTAATCATTTTGTGTGTTACTTTCATTTATTAAATATCATGTTCTTTGCACTTGAACCATAAAATTGCGTTCAATAGCAATGTCGCAAAATAATTTTAACATGAGAATATCTTTAGAATTTCCGATACACAGTCCCGCGCGCTGGAGAGAAAAATGTTTTTTTTTTTCTGTACAACGTTGCCATTGCTCGCTTTGAAATCCTTGAGATTGTTAATCAAAAATTCGTTATACTGTTACAAAGTATTAAACCGATAACAAAACAAATTCCAAATTTTAAATTTGGGCCTGTTCATATTCGTAAAAGGATTACGCTATTCAAAATTGGATAGCTCTAGGTACTGTTGTTTTACCGCAGTGCGAGAGACATATATTCATTTATGCAAATTCTTCATTTTTTAATTTCTTTAAATATAATACAGGGCGTTAATATTTGGTGGCAACAATTTTAAAAGTGAAACATCGCTTGCAGTGTATCGAAGCAAAATGCCAAAACGAAATTAATAGTACTTCTGGTCAAATTGCTTCTGGGCAAAAAAACGCGGTAAAGAAGAGGAAAATGTCTTAAATTCTCTCCTACTTAAAGGGGCCTAAAATCTCAAGGGAGTTTGACCGTATTAAACATTTTGTTGAAATTAACGGTTGTGATTGTTAACAATAAAATCCTATTCGATAAATTTAACCTTGCTTATCATTTCAAACTTCCCTGACTTTCAGCGACTGGCTAGACATGGTCTGTTGAATACAAGCACTCTTATCATTCCCTCTGAACCGTTTTCGGAGTTTTGGAAATTAGGGAAAGAGAAAAAGATTATTATGACATAGGTAATAACTCCGTTCTCTTATTCTCATTATATTACCACGCATTTTGATGCATGTATTAAATTTCATAAAGAAAAATCTAAATGTTCTGTTCGCGCATAGAACTTCCACCACAATTTTCTTAATTAAGGAATCATATTTTCACGTAACATATTATTTGCTTTACCTTGAAAATAATTG